AGCTCCGCGCCCGAGAAGCGTTCTCGTTCCGCTCGACTGCTTTCTGAAATCCGACGAACACGCGTGCCGATGCTATCACGCCCCGGCTGGGCTGTTCGTCAGAAACCCAACAGCCGAAAGCCCAGCCCTTCAAAGCTTTGCACTTGACATCCGCACAGCCGACGCTCTGAAACTAGCATTACTGACGGCCAGTGAAAGAGAAAACCATATTTCACTGGACAGCCGCTGACCTTAAAGACCTCATTACCAAGGGCTGTCCGAAATGCAGGGAGCGGAAGGCTATTAGAAATCGCGTGGAAGCCGACGACTGGTTGGTCGGAAAAGTCCTGCGACAGGAACACGGTGAGCCCGCCCGTCCCCGCGGGGCTGACCGGGCCACCTGGCACAGGGCTGTGAGCCACGGCTGAGAACGCGGGACGCGCACAAGAACGTGGCGGAAAACACACTCGATGTTGCAGACGCTAAGCATGCATCGGCCCAGCAACTCACCCGCGTGTTAGTAAGTGCTCAAAAGCCCTGGACCCCTGTCCAAGGGCCCATCCCCCACTCTTTTGCAAGTGGCTCCCTGAGTATTCACTCCACACCACACCACTGTATTTCCAGATGATGCCAGCAAAATGTCCAGAAAGGGTGGCGGAGGGTTCAAATACCTTTGGAGGGATTTGTTCCCCCTCCCACTGACTGAAAAAGGAAAAGAAAAAGCTAGAAAAAATTACATCCTGAAAAAAATTGTTTTAGATAATCCAGCCCTCACGTGAGAGTAAAGAAGTCCTATCTACCTTTGTGGCGGCAATTCTTGGCGACACTGGCTACATATGTGCTGCCTGTGTGCACACACGCAATCAGTAAGGTTGGCTGGAGCTGCAGGGAGGCAAGGCCTCTTTCGCTGACGCCTCTGTCGGGGGACAGGTGACTGCCGTTGCTTTCCGGGTGCCCACCCTGCTAGCTTCTCCTCCCTGGCAGTGGCTCGCCATTTCTCTGCTCCAGGCCAACATCCAGCAAGGCACAAAGACTGTCCTGAGGCAAACTTTCCCCAGGTCTGTGACCCTTTGGGGGCAGGACTGGGTCTGAGCCCTCTTGGGTCTCACACAAACAGAACCAGATTAAAAATATGATCAGCACAATGTTTGGAATTATTTGTCTGGAAGTTAACGTATCACTTTCCTTATTTAGCCAAAAAGTAGGTAAAAACGAATCCTCCAAAAAGCATTTAAATACCCCTCATACCCCCAATACAGAGAGTTCTAGAAAACCCTACTGGATATATCACAACAACGCAGAAAAGCAAAGACACCACACGGCATTGAGCAGTGCTCCTGGACTAGCCTGCTTGGGCCACCACGTTAGCCGTTCAGCCTCGCCGCCTCGCCGCACTCTCTCTGACTCAGGTGAACACGCAGCGCAACAGAGGGGTGAAGCCTAGGCAACTTCCTCCACACCTTTCCTTGCTCCCGGCTTTCAGAACCAAGTGGGGCAGGCACCAGCCTCAGTCACCCGCATGCTTGGGGCTTTCTTACCTGGCCAAGCACAGTAGCTGCGCCAGAGCACCAAGGAAGAACGCAGTAACACGAACTCCAGAGCTGTCAGGAACTCATTTTAACGACCCACATGATCTCAATTACCCTCCTGTGCACCTGGGCCTTGGTGATGACATACCTGAGTCACCCCTCCTGCCGGCAAGGCGAATTTCTCTCTCAGGGCGAACAGCTCACTCGCCAGGTAGTAGCACTCTTTTCTCAGCTGGAGGATGATCTCCTGGGCTTCTCTCACTTTGGATTTTTCATTTTCCAAAGCTAAAACTAACATTCTGTTGTTGTCCTGGTAGTTCTTCAGCAGTGTCGACGTGTTGGCTAGAAAAGGATGGGAAAAGGGCATCAGGCTAAGTGAAGTCTGAACTGGAAAGGACGGAAAGGACAGAGGGAAGACCCCTTACTGCTCGTCGGGCCCGGCGCGGCCAGGAAGGACTTGCGCCGGCCGACCTCGGCCAAGTTCTTGTTCCTTCTCTCCTTCACGCGCCTCTTCATGTCTTCAAGGCTGTCCTGGAAGGACTTCTTCAGACACCTCTCCTTGGCCATCTTCTGCCTAGGAACTGAAAGCAGGAAACATTAAATTGCGCTCAGAGACAATATTACCGAATATAAAACCTGGGATTGGAAACATGTCAGCCAGGCTCGGTGGCTCAGCCTATAATCCCGCGCCTTTGGGAGGCTGAGGTGAGTGGATTGCCTGAGCCCACGCGTTTGAGACCCGCCTGGGCAACTTGGCGAGACCTCATCTCTACTATAAATCAAAAATGAGCCGGGCGTGGTAGCGCGTACCTGTAGTTCCAGCTACTTGGAAGGCTGAGGCGGAAGGATCGCCAGAGCCCAGCAGGTCGAGGCTGCGGTGGCCGGGAGCGGCCACTGCACTCCAGTCTGGGTGACTGAGTGAGATTCCAACTCAAAAAAAAAAGCACGTCGTTCATAAGAATGGATTCCATGGACTAAACTGTCAAATTAGCTCAAGGTAGGAGGCTAGCTCATCCAGCAATAACTCAGATGTTACAGCTTTGACATCCCATTAGTGTTTCTGGTATCACCTATCCTCCTCAGGCAGTTGATGGGAACACTCGATTGAATATGGGTCTCCAACCCAGAGATGCCAGCATATGCCACTTATTCACTTTAACAGATACTGGGGAGGGGGAGGGAGGTATACGCTAGGCACTAGGGGAAGTGCTGCTTCTTTATTTTTGATGCCATTATTATTGATGTTCCTTACAGAAGATGCTTATGAGCAACTTGTAGTGCTTAGATGTACAGCATTAGTTGAGAGGCAATTCTTTATCTGGGTTTTGCCTTCCAGCTCTTCTCTAATTATTACCAGATTAGGTCACTCACGGCTCTTCCATAATCTTTTTACCCAGCACCACCTAAGCTATGAGCGCACTCTCAAGAAACACAAGGGGGTCCTGGGAGGTTTAAGCGTAGCACCGCCCAGGGCTTGAACAGGCAATCGTCACCTCCGTGGAGCCAGAAAGAGCAGGATCAGGGGCAGAAGAACACAAAGTCACAACTCAAACTCAGGGCTGCTACTCCCGGTAAAGCAGGAATAAGACATTCTGTAGCGCTCTGCAGGATTAAAAATAGCACAATACACAGGGACAGGGGATGTGCTTTTGAGCCTAAGGATCCGTACCCATCCCTAATCCTCTGATGCCACGGGTCACACATGTTGACCAACACCTCTCACCTGGGATTGCACTTTGCAGACCTTAAAACTGCCCCCAAAGTTCTTGTTTCTTACCATAACCTACGGACACAGTTTTCACCCTAAAGGGTATCTTTACCGCTTCTAAGTCCATCAAATATTTTCCTACACTTTACCTTTCTTCTTCTTTTTAAAAAATCCATTCAACATATTTATGGAGTGTATGCTAGGCACTGAGCTAAATAATAGTAGTAGTAACAGTAACAACAATATGATATTAGTTGAGAGTTCCTCCTGCTAGTTCCTACTCTAAGCCCTTTCCACAGATTAACTCATCAAATCTTCACAACCACCCTATGAAGCAAGTACTGTTATTCTCTCCATTTTATAGGTGAGGAAACCGAGTTGGAGAGAAGTTTAGTGGTGTTCGCCCAAGGTTACCAAGTTACTGAAGTGGTGAGCCAGGATTCTAACTCAGACAATGTGACCCCAGAGCCCATGCTCTTGACCATACAGTATTAAGCTAAGTCCAAACAAGATGTGGTCCCTGTTTTCATGGAGTCAACAGTCTCCATGATGGAATATGATGGAATAATAACAACTGTCATGGTAGAAAAACAATGTTTCCATGCGGTCTACAAGATCCCATCTGTACTTAAGAACCCCGACACTGCCTGGAGGGAGATAAGGCCTTACTTAGAAAGGTCAGGTGCTATTCTGTTCTTCATAGCACCTGACCTTTCTAAGTAAGGCCTTATCTCCCTGGAGGCGGTTCTGGGGTCTTAAGTACGGATGGGGTCTTGTAGACCCCACGGAAACATTGTTTTTCTACCAATGTCTACACGATACATTGGAGGCGGGGGTTCCAGCAAGCAACGACTTTACAAGCACCGCAGTGGGTGGGAGGGGGGTTTACACAAAGAAGTTCCGCAGTCCGGACCCGAGTCGCTTTTAGCCGCGGGGGCCGGGTCAGCGCGGTGGGGGATGCCACGGACGGGCCAGTGCGGGCCGCGCCTCGGCCTCCCCGCCG